ACTTGAGGCATACTTGAGGTGTCAAGAGAAATTAACATTTCATTATTTTTATTTTTTTTAGACAGAGTCTCACTCTGTCACCCAGACTGGAGTGCACCGGTGCAATCTCAGCTCACTGCAACCTCCACTGCCCGGGTTCAAGCAATTCTCCTGCATAAGCCTCCTGAGTAGCTGGGTTTACAGGTGCCCGCCACCACGCCCAGCTAATTTTTATATTTTTTAGTAGAGATGGGGTTTCACCATGTTGGCCAGGCTGGTCTTGAACTCCTGACCTCAGGTGATCCACCACCTTGGCCTCCCAAAGTGCTGGGATTACAGGCATGAGCCACTGAGCTGTGCCCTTAATTTTTTGTAGAGAAGGGTCTTGCTATGTTGCCCAGGCTGGTCTTGGACTTCTGGGCTCAAGTCATTCTCCTGCCTCGGTTTCCCAAAGTGTTGGATTTACAGGTTTGAGCCATCACACTCAGCTATGAAGAGAAATATCTTTTTAAAGAGCTAGTGGCGGGGGAAGAGGAGAAGCAAAGCTCTTCTCAGAAACCCTGGGCGTTCAGTAACTGGCCACTTGTTGGCCTCTACAAATGAGGTTGCCGTTGGAGCCAGGATCAGAATTGGTTTAAAACTCTTTAGATTCAGCCAGGCACGGTGGCTCACACCTATAATCCCAGCACTTTGGGAGGCCAAGGTGGGCCAATCACTTGAGGTCAGGAGTTCAAGACCAGCCTGGGCAACATGGTGAAACTCCATCTCTACTAAAAATACAAAAGTTAGCCGGGCGTGGTGGTGCAGGCCTGTAGTCGAGCTACTTGGATGGCTGAGTCAGGACAATTGCTTGAACCTGGGAGGCGGAGGTTGCAGTGAGCTGAGATCATACCACTATATTCCAGCCTGGGAGACAGAGCAAGACTGTCGCAAAAAAAACAAACAAAAAAAAAACCAAAAAAAACAAAAACTGACAATGCACTGTGGCTCACACTTGTAATCCAAGCACTTTGGAAGGCTGAGGTGGGAGGATTGCTTGAACTCAACCGTTCCAGACCAGCCTGAGTAACAAAGTGAGACCCTGTCTTTGCAAAAAATAAAAAATAAAATTATTCAGGTGTGGCATCACACGCCTGTAGTCCCAACTACTCAGGAGGCCGAGGAGGGAGAATTGTTTGAGCCCAGAAGTTCGAGGCTGCAGTGAGCCATGAATGCGCCACTGCACTCCAGGCTGGGCAACAGAGGAAGACACTATCTCTTTAAAAAAAGCAAAAACAAAAAACAAAAAAATGGGGGGCAGTGGCTCACATCTGTAATCCCAGCACTTTGGGAGGCTGAGGCAAGTGGATCATGAGGTCAGGAGTTTGAGACCAGCCCGTCCAACATGGTGAAACCCCATCTCCACTAAAAATACAAAAAAAAATTAGCTGGATGTAGTGGCGCGTGCCAGTAATCCCAGCTACTCAGGAGGCTGAGGCAGGAGAATTGCTTGAACCCGGGAGGTGGAGGTTGCAGTGAGCCGAGATCACACCACTGCACTCCAGCCTGAGTGACAGAGCGAGACTCCATCTCAGAAAAAAAAAAAAAAAAAGAAAACAAAAACCTTAAATCCCCTGCCCCGTCCCCATTCCTGCTGTGCCTGGTGACTGTTCCCCTAGCGTGGATCACAGAGAATTATTGGATAGAGGGATCCCAAGCAGGTGGGACTGAAGCAGGAGGTGAAGTGAACATGTCTATTCTAAGTCCCCCACCCCGGTCCCCACTCGGCTCCCTGAGCCCTGGCGGCCACGCCTACTTCCTCCACAGTGGAGATTATGGGAAACTTCTCTGGGGAAAACAGCAGGTCCTCTGAGAAATAAGAGAAGGTGATACCGGCATTAAATATGAACAAAAATGCCGCTCAATATGTGAGTATGAATATTCGTGTATGTGTAAATATTCAGTGAACAAAAAAGCTCTGGGAAATGAAAAATATCACAGAAATAAGAAACGGCACAACAGTGTTAGAAGATAAAGCTCAGAAAATATCTCGGGAACCAGAACAAAAAGAAGACAGGCTGGGTGCGGTGGCTCATAGCTGTAATCCCAGCACTTGGGGAGGCTGAGGCAGGTGGATCAGTTGAGGTCAGGAGTTCGAGACCAGTCTGGCCAATGTGGTGAAACCCCATCTCTACTAAAGATACAAAAATTAGCCATGCATGGTGGTGGGTGCCTGTAATCCCGGCTACTTGAGAGCTGAGGCAGGAAAATCGGGAGGCAGAGGTTACAGTGAGCCGAGATCATGCCACTGCACTCCTGCCTGGGCAGCAGAGTGACTCCATCTCAAAAGAAAATAAAGACAAAATCAGGAGCCAAAAGAGAAGAACATTAGAGAACCTGTTCACAGAAAGGGAGGAGGAGAAAAGGAGGGGAGAGAATCAAATAATTCAAGAAAATTCCCCAGAATGAGACGAGTCTTTCTTTCTTTCTTTCTTTTATTTTTTGAAGCATATGTTTGCACCTTTTGTTCAGGCTGGAGTGCAATGGCAAGATCTCGGCTCACTGCAATCTCCGCCTCCCGGGTTCAAGTAATTCTCCTGCCTCAGCCTCCCAAGGATGTGGCATTACAGGTGCCTGCCACCACACCTGGCTAATTTTGTATTTTTAGTAGAGAGGGGATTTCTCTATGTTGGTCAGGCTGGTCTTGAACTTCTGACCTCAGGTGGTCCACCCTTCTCGGCCTCCCAAAGTGCTGGGATTACAGGTGTGAGCCACCATGCCAGCCGGGTGTTTCTGGATTGAAAGGGCTCCTAGGATCCCAGGATAGAGGATGCAAAAAAGGCCCACATCAAAGTACCTCACAGTGGCTGGGGGACGTGGCGCATGCCCGTCATCCCAGTGTTTTGGGAGGCTGCTCAGGTGGGAGGATCCCTTGAGCCCAGGAGTTCGGGACCAGCCTGGGGAACATATTGAAACCCTGTCTCTTGAAAAAGAATGAGGGTAGCGAGAGAATTCAAAATAGATGTTCGCACAAAAGTTGTCCAAGTAGGTCAGGCGCGGTGGCTCATGCCTGTAATCCCAGCGCTTTGGGAGGCAGAGGCAGGCAGATCGCTTGAACTCAGGAGTTTCATACCAGCCTGGGCAACATGGCAAAACTCCATCTGTACAAAAAATAAAATTGAAAAAAAAATACAAGAATATTCATAGCAACATTATTCATAACGGCCAGAAAGTGGAGACAACCCAGCTGTCCATCAACAGATGAAATAAACAAGCAGAATGTGGTCTGCCCATACCATGAATGCCATTTGACCATAAAAACAATGGGGTACTGATACCTGCTGCAATGTGATCGGACCTTGAAAGCATGATGCTAAGGCAAAGAAGCCAGACAAAAATATGTGATGTTGTATGAATCCATTCCTTTTTCTTTTTCTTTTTCTTTTTTTTTTTTGTGAGATAAAGTCTTGCTCTGTCGCCCAGGCTGGAGTGCAACTGCATGATCTCAGCTCACTGCAACCTCTGCCTCCCAGGTTCTCCTGCCTCAGCCTCCCAAGTAGTTTACAGGCATGTACCACCCCGCCCAGCTAATTTTTTGTATTTTTAATAGAGATGGGATTTCACCATGTTGGCCAGGCTGGTCTCAAGCTCCTGACCTCAAGTGATCCACCTGCATCGGCCTCCCAAAGTGCTGGGATTACAGGCGTGAGCCATCACGCCCACCCATGTGATTTCATTTCTATGAAGTGTCCAGAATAGGCGAATCTGTAGAGATAGGATAGAAAGAGTCTTAACAGTTGTCAGGGGCTGCCAGGAAGATGGAATAGGATGTGATTTGTCCTGGGTACGGGGCTTCTCTTTGGGATGATGGTTCTGGAAATAGATAGTGGCAATGACAGTGAATGCACTGAAAGCTGCTGAATTACTTTTTTATTTTTATTGGTTTTTGAGACTGCATCTTGCTTTGCCGCCCAGGCTGGAGTGCAGTGGTGCAATCTCAGCTCACTGCAACCTCCGCCTCCTGGGTTCAAGCAATTCTCATGTCTCGGCCTTCCAAGTAGCTGGGATTTTAGGCGCCCGCTACCATGCCCAGCTAATTTTTGTATTTTTAGTAGAGATGGTGTTTCACTGTGTTGCCCAGGCTGGCCTCAAATTCCTGAGCTCAGATGATCCACCTTGGCCTCCCAAAGTGCTGGGATTAAAGGCATGAGCCATTGTGCCCGGCTTATATGCTTATTTTTTATTGTTGTATTTCATTTTAATTTTTGTAGAGATGAAGGGTCTCACTGTATTGCTCAGGCGGATCTCAAAGTTCTGGCCTCAAGTGATCTTCTCACCTCAGCTTCCCAAAACAGGCACGATCACCAACATGAGCCACCATGTTTGGCCCTGTATTTTTTAAAATGGCTAAAATGGTAAATTTTACGTTATGTGAATTTATACCTCCATTAAAAAAAAGAGAGGCCAGGCGCCGTGGCTCATGCCTGCAATCCCAGCACTTTGGGAGGCCGAGGCGAGCGGATCACAAGGTCAAACGTTCGAGACCAGCCTGGACAGCATGGTGAAACCCTGTCTCTACTAAAAATACAAAAAAATTAGCTGGGCGTGGTGGTGTGTGTCTGTAATTCCAGCTACTCCTGACCTCAGGTGATCCACCCGCCTCGGCCACCCAAAGTGCTGGGATTACAGGCATGAGCCACCGCGCCCAGCCACATAAACCCTTTTTACAGATGAAGATGCTGAGGCTCAGAGAGGTTAGGTAACTTGCCTAGGTGCACACAGCTTCTAGGTGGCAGAGTTTGAATGCAGGTCTGCGTGTCTGTCTCCAAAGCCTGTGCTCTTGCCTGGGTCGGCCCTGGGAGGCGCTGTTTAACTTGTCTCCGTCTCAGTCATCCTTAGGTGTCTCCCCCTCCCCCATTCCTGTCTCCCCTGTCCTCTGCATCCTGGAAGGGATGGGTGGGATAAGCCTGGGCTGAGTGCCCCTGCCATCTCTGCCTCTGCCGCTGCATCCTCTAGACCTGAGTCTCCCTGTGTGCCGGCAGGTCGGCGGGACGAAGACTGGCGTGGTGCGGTACGTGGGGGAGACAGACTTTGCCAAGGGCGAGTGGTGTGGCGTGGAGCTGGACGAGCCTCTTGGGAAGAATGACGGAGCGGTGGCAGGCACCAGGTATGGAGGGTTTCTTCTGGGGAGTATGGGAGGGGGCTCCTCTCCCCAGGGTGGGCGCAGGGGATACAGATGGGACATTGGAGGAAGCCAGTGTCCATAATATACGTCCTTCCCGTTCCCTCCTTCTCAATAGCCCACGAAGGTGGGTAGTGGGTTTATCATCCCATTTTACAGATGAGAGTATGGAGGCCAGAGAGATCATTGTTCAAGGTCGCACAGCCACAGGCAAGCACCAAGAGAATCTGTCCCCGTGCCCTCGTCTTCATGTCACTCATGGCTAAGTGGGGTGGGAGCCCTCAAAAAGGAGATGGAGGCTAGGCGCGGTGGCTCATGCCTGTAATCCCAGTACTTTTAGAGATTGAGGCAGGTGGATCCCTTGAGTTCAGGAGTTCGAGACTAGCCTGGCCAACATGGTGAAACTCTGTCTCTACTAAAAATATAAAAAATTAGCTGGGCGTGGTGGTGCACACCTGTAATTGCAGAACTTGGGTGGCTGAGGCATGAGAATCACTTGACCTGGGAGGCGTAGGTTGCAGTGAGACAAGATCACACCATTACACTCCAGCATGGGTGACAAAGTGAGACTATCTTAAAAAAATTAGCCAGGCATGGTGGTGCACACCTGTAGTCCCAGCTACTTGGGAGGCCGGGGCATGGGAATTGCTGGAACCTGGGAGGCAGAGGTTGCAGTGAGCTGAGATTGCGCCACTCTGTCATTCCAGCCTGGGCAACAGAGCTAGATTCTGCCTCTAGAAAAAAAAAAAAAGGGAACCCGGGAGGCGGAGGTTACACCATTGCATTCCTGAGATCGCGCCATTGCACTCCAGCCTGGGCGACAGAGCAAGACTGTCTCCAAAAACAAACAAACAAAAAAACCAAAGGAGAGGCAGCAGTCCCTGCCATCTGGCGTTGGGGTCCCCTGGATGACACGTGAAATAACCAGACAGTGCTCAGCCCTGTATGGCCAAAGGCAGGCCTCACAGACGGGTTCCAGGTCTCCCACCAGCTCTGATGGAGAGGAACTGACTAGTGGCATTGCTGGGTTAGGAGGGTCTGAGGCTGCATGTGGGCTCGTGGTGGGTGGGGGAGTGTGGTGGCAAGTGGACCATGTCTGTCACGGGTGTGGACCACGGTGAGGCCACCTGAGTGCCTGTGCAGTCCCTGGCTGGATTCTGTGGTTGAGATGAGGCTGTGACTGCTCTGAGCAGGAGTGGTCACCAAGGCACAGGGAGGAGCCAGGCTTGGGCCAGGCCTTGAAGGAAGGTAGGGTTTCCTTTTGGAAGAGGCTTGAGAAGGGTTGTGTTAGGCAGGGGCTGAGAGGGTAGGTTGAACAAAGACCTGGAGGTGGAAAAGGGAGGATGGGGCGGCAGTTTCAAGGTGAATCAGAAGCTGGATGGGGGCCAGGCATGGTGACTCATGTCTGTAATCCCAGCACTATAGGAGGCTGAGGCTGGAGGATCACTAGAAGCCAGGAGTTCAGGACTAGCCTGGGCAACATAGCAAAACCCCGTCTCTAGAAAAGATACAGAAATTAGCCGGGTGTGGTGGCACACACCTGCGGTTTCAGCTACTCGGGAGGCTGAGGTGGGAGGATTTCATGAACCCAGAAGGTGGAGGCTGCAGTGAGCTATGATCGTGGCATTGCACTCCAGCCTAGATGACAGAGCGAGACCCTGTTGAGAGAGAGAGAGAGAGAGAAAGAAAAGAAGGGAGAGAGACAGAAATAGAGAGAGAGAAAGAAAGAGGAAGAAAAGAAAGAGAGAAAAGAAAAGAAACCGGATGATCCCACCTCTCGTGGTCCAGTGTAGAATCCATGACCAGAGAGGTTTTGGGAGAAGATGAGAATCTGGGGTTCCCATGGCGGTGTTTTGCCTTCCTGTTTGCAAAATGAATGTTTCTCTTGACTCACTTTTGCTTTCAGAATTCAGGGGCTGGTTGGACAGCAGCCCCCACCCCACCCCAAGGTGTCTCTTTCAAGATTTTTCTTCTCCATACAGGGACTCTGTGGGCAGAGAGCTGATGGGATTCTTTCATTCTGGGGGTGGTCTGAGGGTAGCCTGAGAGTGAGGCTGCAGCTGTGGCTGGGGTCTCTGAACAGTCTGTGGGAGCCAAGTTTGGTGGGTTTGGGAGCCCAGCAAACTGGAGGCCCAGTCCCAGCTTAGCCACGTAACCAGCTGTGTGACTGTGGGCAAGCTACTTAACCTCTCTGAGCCTAATTTTCTCATTTGTGAATGTAGTTAACTATGGGGAATAGAGATGAGCATTCGGCACAAAGTGGGTCCCAGTAATTATTTCCTACTTCCAAGAGCATCCTCATTGGCTGTTCATAGCTGCAGAGACTTAGAGACTCTACTCACCCCTGTCCTCTTTGTGAGAGCCCTGTCTATCCATCTGGAAGATTTCCACCTTGGAGTGTCTTTTCAGATGGGCCCCAAGGAGGCGTCTTTCTCTCTTTGTGCCTGGCACTGAAGAGGCAGAGGTGGGAGGGGAGGGTCCAGGCTGTGAGGCTGTGACAGTAGCGTGGGTCTCTCTTGCTTCCACAGGTACTTCCAGTGCCCACCCAAATTTGGTCTCTTTGCACCCATCCACAAGGTGATCCGTATTGGCTTCCCATCTACCAGCCCAGCCAAGGCCAAGAAGACCAAGCGTATGGCCATGGGTGTGTCAGCACTGACCCACAGTCCCAGCAGTTCCTCCATCAGCTCTGTCAGCTCTGTGGCCTCCTCTGTGGGGGGCCGGCCCAGCCGCAGTGGCCTGGTGAGGGTGGGGCTGCAGAAGGGGATTCTCTGGTGTGCATTTTGGGAGGGGTGAGGACATATAGAGATCCAGGTGTCCTGGTCGGCCCCTGACTTACAGTTCCAGTTTTGGATTTTGAACAAAGATGAAAGTGCATGTCTTTTAATAGGGAAGATTGAGCCATTTATGTTTATTGTTATTTTTATATAAGTGATTTATTTAGCCTGAGCCTTTCTCTGGAAGTTAAGGAGGGTTATACAGATGCAGGGCAGGGGGTCCAGAAAGGTTGGCATTGGACCCTGGATGAAGGGAAAAGAGGAGGCTGCTCGGTGGCTATGGGCAGAGTGCCTTCTGTCCAAACCCAGCCTAGGGTTGGAGATTCCTCCTGCCTCGGGAAAAAAAGAATCTGCCTCAGGAAAAAAAAGGGGCCAAAGTGAGGGAATCAGAGGCGCTGGCTATCAGGAGCTGACTCTCCTGAGATGGGGAGTTTCCTGAATCTCAAACATTAGGATTCCCGCCTGGGTGAGACAGCAGGGGACAGGATGTCAGAGTACTGGGAGGGGAAGGGCAGGACCCTGGGGGTCAAGGCACTTGGGGCCCCACCTGCTGGGTTGCTTTAGGTTAGGCGGGACAGAGCCAGCTTGCCCTGCAGTGCTTCAGATCCCTGAGACCTGCCCGCACCCACGCCTTCCTGCAGCTCACGGAGACCTCCTCACGCTACGCCCGAAAGATCTCGGGCACCACGGCCTTGCAGGAGGCACTGAAGGAGAAGCAGCAGCACATTGAGCAGTTGCTGGCCGAGCGAGACCTGGAGCGGGCCGAGGTGGCCAAGGCCACGAGCCACATCTGTGAGGTGGAGAAGGAGATCGCCCTGCTCAAGGCGCAGCATGAGCAGGTGGGTGGCAGGTGGGGCTGGGGGCGGACCTTCTCCAGCCAGCCTCATAGAGTCTCACCCACCCAGAGCAGAGACACCCAGGGGTGGGTGCAGAGAAATAGGAAGATCACACAAGCAGTGCCCGTCCCCATTCTCCAGAGATAAGCCTCAGTGACTGGTGAATTTCCTTCCAGTCCTTCTGCCTGGGTATAAAGATGTACACCTACTTTCAGAATCTGCCCATAAACTATATATATTCTCCTATTTATTTATTTATTTATTTATTTTCCAATAATGGCTATAAGCAATCTCCTATTTTATTTTTTATTTATTTATTTTTTTAGATGGAGTCTCACTCTGTCACCCAGGCCAGAGTGCAGTGGCGCAGTTTTGGCTCACTGCAACTTCCACCTCCTGGGTTCAAGTGATTGTCTTGCCTGAGCCTCCCGAGTAGCTGGGATTACAGGTGCCTGCCCCCAAACCCAGCTAATTTTTATATTTATATTTTTATTTTTTTTCTTTGAGACGGAGTTTCACTCATGTTACCCAGGCTGGAGTGCAATGGCGCGATCTCGGCTCACCGCAACCTCCACCTCCTGGGTTCAGGCAATTCTCCTGCCTCAGCCTCCTGAGTAGCTGGGATTACAGGCACGCGCCACCATGCCCAGCTAATTTTTTGTATTTTTAGTAGAGACGGGGTTTCACCATGTTGACCAGGATGGCCTCGATCTCTTGACCTCGTGATCCACCCGCCTCGGCCTCCCAAAGTGCTGGGATTACAGGCTTGAGCCACCGCGCCCGGCCCTAATTTTTATATTTTTAGTATAGGTAGGGTTTCACCATGTTGGCCAGGCTGGTGTCGAACTCCTGACCTCAAGTGATCTGCCCGCCTCAGCCTCCCAAAGTGCTGGGGTTACAGGGGAGCCACCATGCTCAGTCCTGCTTTTTAATTTTTTTTAATATTTTAAATGTAGGGATGAGGTCTTGCTATGTTGGTCAGGCTGGTCTCGAACTCCTGGCCTCAAGCAATCCTTGACTTTCCAAAGCGCTGCCTGCTTCCCACTTACCACCATACTGCAAGCATTTTCTAGGCTCTGGAAAATTCTTCATCATCCTTTTATTTTATTTATTTTCTATTTTTTTTTTTTTTTTGAGACGGAGTTTCACTCATGTTACCCAGGCTGGAGTGCAATGGCGCGATCTCGGCTCACTGCAACCTCCGCCTCCTGGGTTCAGGCAATTCTCCTGCCTCAGCCTCCTGAGTAGCTGGGATTACAGGCACGCGCCACCATGCCCAGCTAATTTTTTGTATTTTTGGTAGAGACGGGGTTTCACCATGTTGACCAGGATGGTCTTGATCTCTTGACCTCATGATCCACCCGCCTCGGCCTCCCAAAGTGCTGGGATTACAGGCTTGAGCCACCGCGCCTGGCCTTATTTTCTATTTTTTTTAATAGACAGGGCCTTGCTTTGTTGCCCCAAGTGATTCTCCCACCTCAGCCTCCTGAGTAGCTGGGACCATAGGTGCACATTACCATGCCCAGCTAAGTTTTGTATTTTTTGTGGAGATGGGGTCTTACTATGTTACCCAGGCTGGTCTGAAACTCCTGGCCTCAAGTGACCCTCCCACCTTGGTCTCTCAAAGCACTGCAGTTACAGGCGTGAGCCACCGTGCCCCACGTCTGCCCTGTCATGATGGCTGCATTGCTGTCTGTCACAGGTGATGTCCTTACGGCTATCTGATGTGACTAGTCCCCTGCTGTTTAGATTATTTCCAATTTTTCACTTTTTTTTTTTTTTTTGAGACGGAGTCTCGCCCTGTCACTCAGGCTGGAGTGTAGTGATGCAATCTCGGCTCACTGCAACCTCTGCCTCCTGGTTCAAGTGATTCTGTCTCAGTCTCCTTAGTAGCTGGGACTACAGGTGTGTGCCACAACACCCAGCTAATCTAATTTTTGTATTCTTAGTCGAGACGGGGTTTCACCATGTTGGCCAGGCTGGTCTCGAACCCCTGGCCTCGAGTGCTCTGCCCACCTCAGCCTCCCAAAAGGCTGGGATTACAGGCATGAACCACCACGCCGGGCCAATTTTTCAGACTTTCTACATATCGCTGTAGTAAATATTTTTTTTATGGCCAGGTGCAGTGGCTTGACACCTGTAATTCTAGCACTTTGGGAGGCCAGGGCCGGTGGATCACGAGGTTAAGAGATCAAGACCGTCCTGGCTAACACAGTGAAACCCTGTCTCCACTAAAAATACAAAACATGAGCCAGCTGTGATGGCACGTGCCTGTAGTCCCGGCTACCTGGCAGGCTAAGGCAGGAGAATCACTTGAACCCGGGAGGTAGAGGTTGCAGTGAACCAAGATCACGCCACTACACTCCAGCCTGGGTGAAGAGCGAGACTCTATTTCAAAAAAAAAAATTATTTATACATGACTGTCTGTCTACATTTCAGATTATTCTTTTGAGCAGATTCTAGGGTTGGATTTCAGGGAAGTGACTCCTTGCTCTGAGCCTTGGGTCTGCTGCTGTCTCGTGTCTATTTTTTTTCCTCTGATACTTGTTTCCGGTGGGAGAACTCCCTCCTGGGCCTCTGTCCCCACCTGGGGTCTGGCTTGCCCCTCCTTGGACGCCAGGATCAATAAGGCCAAGTTCATGGCTGTGCTTTGATGAGGCACAGACAAGACAACAGGTTTGCAGGATAACAGGTCTTAGGTCCTTGTGGGTTGAGGGGGGTGGCAGGTGCTGAGGGCATGTGGGCCTGAGGGTCCTGCCTCTGCCTCTGTTGTTCCTGCTGGGTCCCCTCCTTCATACCCAGGCCCACTGTGCATGCCCTGCAGAGGCCACCAAGGGAGTCGGGGTGACTGGGGTTCCAGCCCCGGCTCCTTACCTCTCTCCCACCACACCCCCAAGCTGGACCCCACACCCCAGAGCATGCTGACCATGTCCTGGCCCTCCCTTGGGGGCCCAGTATGTTGCAGAAGCCGAGGAGAAGCTGCAACGAGCCCGGCTGCTGGTGGACAGCGTGCGGAAAGAGAAGGTAGACCTGTCCAACCAGCTGGAGGAGGAGAGGAGGTACGTGCCGGCCCACCCTCGCCCTGGGAGGATGTTCTCCCTGAGCCCCCTTAAGGAGGATGAGGAAGAGGGCAGGCTTGGGAAGAGCAGACCCAGGTTCCAGTCCTGCCCCCGCCATGCCTGGCTGTGTCACCCTGGACTGGTGACATGAGCTGTTGGACCTCAGCCTTCCCATCTGTAAAGTGGGATGCTGGTTCCCTGTCTTCTGCAGGCAGCTGGGAGAAGTCATATAACTGGAGTAAAGGACCCAGCACAGTGTCGGACACACAGGGACACCACATTTTTAAACCTTTTTTGAAACAGAGTCTCGCTCTGTCACCCAGGCTGGAGTACAGTCTTGACCTCTGGGTTCAAGCGATCCTCCCACCTCAGCTTCCTGAGTAGCTGGGACCACAGGCGTGCCCCACCACACCTGGCTAACTTTTGTATTTTTTTGTAGAGATGGGGTTTTGGCACGTTGGCCAGGCTGGTCTCGAACTCCTGACCTCAAGCTATCCACCCGCCTCTGCCTCCCAAAGTGCAGGCCTGAAGCGTTGTGCCCGGCCTTGGAACACCACAGTTGTTCACTGCACAGAGGCCACTGTTCCTGCTGTCTCTGGCAGAATATTGAGAAGGTGATAGCTGGGGGTGGTGGAAGGGAGGGAGGTTGGTTATCACAGCGGGTGTCCCTGGGGAGTCATCCACCAGGAAGAAGGCCTAACGCCCCTACTCCTCCACTGTGAGCCAGTTCACACTCACAGTGCGCCCTGCCCCCACCCTGGGCCAAGACCCATGAGTGGCGCTCATGTCACCATGTCCTGGGACTCCATTTCCCTCCCCTCCCCTCCCTTCAGATGGAGTCTCACTCTTGTTGCCCAGGCTGGAGTACAATGGTGCGATCTCGGCTCACTGCAATCTCCATCTCTTGGGTTTGAGCGATTCTCCTGCCTCAGCCTCCCAAAGTAGCTGGGATTACAGACACATGCCACCATGCCAGCTAATTTGGTTTTGTTTTGTTTTGAGATGGAGTTTCACTCTTGTCGCCCAGGCTGGAGTGCAATGGCGTGACCTCGGCTCACCAAAACCTCCGCCTCCCGGGTTCAAGTGATTCTCCTGCCTCAGCCTCCACCGAGTAGCTGGGATTACAGGCACGCGCCACCACACCCCGCTAATTTTGTATTTTTAGTAGAGACAGGGTTTCTCCATGTTGCTCAGGCTGGTCTTGAACTCCTGACCTCAGGTGATCTGCCCGCCTTGGCCTCCCAAAGTGCTGGGGTTACAGGCATGAGCCGCCGTGCCCAGCCTCCTTAATTTATTTTTTCTTTTTGAGACAGGGTCTCACTCTGTCACCCGGACTGGAGTGCAGGAGCTTGGCCATAGCTCACTGCAGCCTTAACCTTCCAGCTTCATGCAGTCCTCCCACCTCAGCCTCCCAGGTAGCTGGGACTACAGGCACATGCCGTCAAGCCCAGCTAATTTTTTGCATCCATTCCCATTTTACATACCAGGAAACTGAGGCTAAGAGAAACAGCAGCCAAGGGACTCCTGAAACGCCCTGTGTCCAGGTGTCAGCCCTGTGCTGCATGCGTTGCTGGTGTCATCACTTTCAGTGTCACAGCTGGCCAGGTGCGGTGGCTCACGCCTGTAATCCCAGAACTTTGGGAGGCCAAGGCAGGCAGATCACCTGAGGTCAGGAGTTTGAGACCAGCCTGGCCAACATGGAGAAACTCTGTCTCTACTGAAAATATAAAACTTGGCCAGGCATGGTGGCTCACACCTATAATCCCAGCTACTTGGGAGGCCGAAGTGGGAGAAGTGCTTGAACCTGGGAGGTGGAGGTTGCAGTGAGCCGAGACCACACCATTGCACTCCAGCCTGGGCAACAGAGTGAGACTCTGTCTCAAACACAAAAAAGGCAGGTGGATCACCGGAGATGAGGAGTTTGAGACGGGCCTGGCCAAGATGGTGAAACCTGTTGGTCTCTACCAAAAATACAAAAATTAGCTGGGCCTGGTGGTGGGCACCCCTAATCCCAGCAGCTCAGGGGGCTAAGGCAGGAGAATCACTTGAACCCGGGAGGCGGAGGTTGCAGTGAACCAAGATTGTGCCATTGCACTCCAGCCTGGGTGACAGAATGAGACTCCACCTCAAAAGAAAAGACACAAGCAGGATCTATCTCCCCAGCAGTCTTCTAACCGAAGATGCCAGGCGGGGACTTTGGCCAGTTCAGCCCTGGGTCACCTGGTAGGACACGAAGCTGACAGGTTTGCTTTGGCCTGGGTCCTCTTTACCTCCTAGACGATGCCCAGATGCCTACATCTCCCTCCCCTGTCTGCAGGCAGCAGCCAGCCCCCATCCCCAGCGTGTCCAATTGAGTCTGTTCTGTGGGCTTTCAGCGGGCACCTGTGCTCCGTAAGCTGTCGTTCCTGTCGGATTCAGGGAGACAAGGGTGTATTTATATCTGCCTGAGACAGCCGTAGGGGCCCACACATCTGGTTCCCATGGCAACGTGCCTGATGCCAACAAACAAACACAGATCTTTTTTTTTTTTTTTTTTTTTTTTTTTAAAGACAGAGTCTCACTCTGTCACCCAGGCTGGAGTGCAGTGGCACGATCTTGTTTCACTGCAACTCTGCCTCCTGGGTTCAAGCAATTCTTCTGCCTCAGCCTCCCGAGTAGCTGGGATTACAGGCTCTCACCACCATGCCCTGCTAATTTTCACATTTTTAGTAGAGACGGGGCTGCGCCATGTTGCCCAGGTTGGTCTCTATCACCTGGACTCAAGTGATCTGCCCGCCTCAGCCTCCTAAAGTGCTGGGATTACAGGCATGAGACAATGTGCCCAGCCACAAACACAGATCTTGAAGGCATTGTGGAGTTGTGATCAGAAGGGGCTCAGGTGCAAGTCCCTGCCTTGCCCTGTGCTTGCTGTGTGGCCTTGGGCAGGTCACTTGCCCTCTCTGGGCCTCATTCCTCATTGCTATGCTGAGAGCTGTTAGGAGGACTCAGGGAGAGCAGCTTTGAAAGCTTATGTGTTCCTATAAAGAGGGGTGGGCCTGTGCGTTTCCCCTGCGCTCTCTTGACAGGTATGTGGCTGAGTGTGTCTCCCTGAGGCCGGCCCTGAAGGCCTGAACCTTCCACATCCAGAGGCAGCCTGGGAGTAGGGATTGGGACCCTGACCCCCAATTTTGAGGCCTGTGATGAGAACAGGGTCAACAGCGAAGGAAGCCCACTTTCCGCCCCTCCTTTCCTTCCTCCCCATGGCTTATTCCTTGTGGTATTGTCTGCTGCTTGCAGTGATGAAAACAGCGTAGTCGGCTGGGCACAGAGACTTACGCCTGTAATCTCAGCATTTTAGGAGGCCAAGGTGGGTGGATCACTTGAGGCCAGGAGTTCAAGACCAGCCTGGCCAACATGGCGAAACACCGTCTCTACTAAAAATACAAAAATTAGGGCCAGGCGCGGTGGCTCACACCTGTAATCCCAGCACTTTGGGAGGCTGAGGTGGGGTGATCATGAGGTCAGCAGTTTGAGACCATCCTGGCCAACATAGTGAAACCCCGTCTCTACTAAAAATACAAAAATTAGCCAGGCATGGTGGCGGGCATCTGTAATCCCAGCTACTCGGGATGCTGAGGCAGGAGAATTGCTTGAACCTGGGAGGTAGAGGTTGCAATGAGCCGAGACCACGCCATTGCACTCCAGCCTGGGTGACAGAGCGAGACTCTATTAAAAAAAAAAAAATTAGCTGGACATGGTGGTGTATGCCTATAACCCCAGCTACTCCAGAGGCTGAGGCAGGAGAATCGCTTGAACCCGGGAGGCGGAGGCGGAGGCAGAGGCTGCACTGAGCTAAGATCATGCTACTACACTCCAGCCTGGGCAACAGAGCCAGATTCTGTCTCAAAAGAAAGAAAAGAAGAGAAAAAATAAACAGAGAGAGAGAAGGAAGGAAGGAGGGAGGGATGGAGGGAGGGAGGGGAGGAAGGAAGGAAGGGAACAGTGTTGTCACTCACATCCCTAGGCCACCCTGTCCCTTATTTTATTTCCCACCACCCTGGGGAGGAATAGTTATTGGTGGTTCTTCTTTGAGTGCAGGTCAGCAGGTTGGGAGGTCTAGAGCTTTCCAGGATGCTCTGCCCCGCTCAGCCATAGGACTCTGGGCAGGTCCCTGTTCTGCTGGGACGGTTGCCTCTACATCATCCAAGTGTGGACTCTGGGCCATTCTGATGGCCTCGCCTCTCTGCTGTTGCTCACTTGGCGAAGCCCGTTGCTCTGGGCAAAGCCAGGTCAGCCGGCTCTTTCCCTCTCCTGCAGGAAGGTGGAGGATCTGCAATTCCGTGTGGAGGAGGAGTCCATCACCAAGGGAGACCTGGAGGTAACAGTCAGAGACCACTCCCCTGAGCATGCTCAGCACTGGGGGACCCTTGCTAGTGCAGATGGTCATGAGGTCTAGCAGCAACTTTGGCCCCCCTGGGGAAGGGACTGGGGGCGGGAATAGGGAAAGATCAAAGGTGTAGTGGCAGAGGTGTGAGTGGCTCAGCCCCAGGAGCCTCCAGGGAGGCTGTGTTCCCCACGTCAGCAGCTGGATGGGGTTGTGAGGATGAACCCAGGGCAGGGCAGTTGGGAGGCTGGGCCCCAAGATGGAGTGGCTGAGGTCCCCTATCCCTTCTTGGGCAGTAACCCTAAAGGTGCTCCTTCGTTCATCTTGGATTCCAGGTAAAATTTTGGCTGAAAGTAGCTTGCTGAGTCACAGAATTTATAGGTAGGAAAACTGAGGCTCAGAGACCGGGGGAGCCAGGTGTGGTGGCTCACGCCTGTAATCCCAGCACTTCAGGAGATCGAGGCAGGAGGATCACTTGAGCCCAGGAGTTCAAGACCAGCCTGGGCAAAATAGCAAGACCCCACTTCTACAAAAAAGTTTTAAAAGTTAGCCGAGCATGGTTGTGTGTACCTGTGGTCCTAGCTACCTGGGGAGGCTGAGGCTGGAGGATTGCTTGAGTCTGGGAGATGGAGGCTGCAGTGAGCTATGATCGTGTCTGTTTTCGTTTTGTTTTGAGACTGTCTCAAAAAAAAAAAAAAAAAAAAAAGGATGTTGGGGCACAACCTGGTGCCAGAGCCTCAGCCCAGCTCAGCAGGTTCTGATTAAGTTTCCCTCTTAGCCAAGGGGTAGCCCACGTGGTTGCTCCTGGCTGACTTTTCCATTGGCAGCTGCCCTCCTGCAGGGTTGGGTGGGCTTATGGGAAAAGCACCTGTGGTTGACAGGAACAGAGACCCCCGTGCCAGCTCCAGTCACCAAGGGGGCTTCCTGAAGGGCCGTAGGAAAGTTCACAGCCCCCGAGGGCAGGCAGTTCAGGGGCTGGAGCCGGAAACAGCATCAGGAGCTAAGCCCATCCATATCCCCCTTGCTCAGGGCTCCCCTCCGATGTGTGCCTGGGGTCACACAATGTTTCCCACTGTGTCTCCCGGGCTCTGCTTCTCCAAGCCCCGCCCACTACCTACCAGCTGTCATCAGGGGAGACTCTGATTGGTCCCAGGGGTAGCCAGTGGGCCGGCTGGCTCTGAATAGGGGTCCACCTGGGATCCAATCGGCCCTGGCTGAGAGAGGCAAGGAGTGGGACAGACTTTGACAGACAGCTAAGTAAATCCAAAGGGCTGCAAAATCCCCATACGACGTTTTATTGTAACAAACTGAATTGTGATCATACTTATGGCAACCAGAGGGCAAAATGACCAAAGTCCCACTCATCTCTTTATCCCTACCCTTTTGTTTTTCTTTTTTTGGAGACAGGATCTCACTCTGTTGCCCAGACTGGAGTACAGTGGCATGATCTGGGCTCCACTTCCTGGGCTCAAGTGATGTTCTTGCCTCAGCCTGCCAAGTAGCTGGGACTGCAGGTGTGTGCCACCATATACAGCTAATTTTTTTTGGGCGGGGAGAGGCCGGGTATTGCTATATTGCCTAGGTGGGTCTGAAACTCTTGGTTCAAGCAATCCTCGGCCTCCAAAAGGCTGGGATTACATGCATGAGCCATCACAACTGCCCCCCTCCATCTTAAAAGTTAAAAATAAAAACTAGAGCCCCCCCTTGACCTCCTGGTCGCCTCCAGGTTTATCACCCCACCTCTCTGCCTGTCTTCATTGCAAAACTCCTCAGGAGGTTCTCAGGCTCTTGATCTTCCCTCCTGTCCACACTCCTCTAGCTACACAATGAGATGCCCCATTCCAACTCCCCAGCCTCTTCTGCTGGCTTCTCTTCCTTCCTGATCTCTGAACATTGGCCCATCCAAGGGCTCAGTCCCAGACTGTTCACCCATTGTCCACGTTCGCCCTGAGAGCTTCCAGTCTGTGGCCTCCATGCCTTGGATAAGCTCCCATGAGTTCCAGTCCTCCCCAAGCTTCCTCTGCCATGCCCACTTGACATCTCCAACTAATTGAGGAAGAAGTAAGCATCGACATCAATTTCCTGGGGCTGCAGTAACTCATGGCCAGAAATCTGTGGCTTAAAACAACACAGATATAGGCCCTTGCAGTTCTGGAGGCCAGGAGTCTAAAGTCAAGGCCGGGCGCGGTGGCTCACGCCTGTAATCCCTGCATTTTGGGAGGCAGAGGTGGGCAGATCACTTGAGGTCAGGAGTTTGAGACCAGCCTGGCCAACATGGCGAAACCCCATCTCTACCAAAAATACAAAATTAGCTAGGCATGGTGACGGGCGCCTGTAATCCCAGCTACTCTGGAGGCTGAGGCAGGAGAATGACTTCCTCAGGAGGTGGAGGTTGCAGTGAGCCGAGATCGTGCCACTGCGCTCCAGCCTGGGTGGTAGAGTGAGACTCCATCTCAAAAAAAAAAAAAAAAAAGAAGTCTGAAACCCAGGAGTTGGAGAATCCGTTCCATCCTCTGTCCTGGCTTCCAGTGGGATTGCCTGCAGTTCTTCGTGCTCCTTGGCCTGTATAAGTGCATCAGGCCGGTCTCTGCCTGTGTCACTTTGCCACCTTCCCCTGTGTGGCACTTCACCATCTTAAGCAGGCGCCAGTCACTGAATTTGGGACCCACTCTAATCCAATCCGAATCCAGTAGCCTTCATTGTAACTAATTACATGTCCAAGACCCTGTTCCAAATAAGGTCACATTCTTTCTTTATTTTGTTTAATTTTTATAGAGATGCAGTCTCACTATATTGCCCAGGCTGGTTTCGAACTTCTAAGATCAAGTGATCTCCCGCCTCGGCCCCCCAAAGTTCTGGGATTATAGGTGTGAGCCACCATGCCTGGCTAAGGTCACATTCTGAGGTTCTGAGTGGGCATGGAATTTAAGAGGACACTATTCAACCCGGGACCACATCCCAAATGGAACGTGTCCTAGCCACGTCTCTCAGTTCCGTGTCCTCTATCCACGCCTTCCCTATCACCACCCCCCTTACAATTCCCGTCTCAGGAACTGGCCTCCAAATCCACACAGCTTTCCGGGGATGGTGGCTCATGCCTGTAATCCCAGTCCTTTGGGCGCCTGAGACAGGAGGATTGCATGAGCCCAGGAATTTGAGATCAGCCTGGGCAACAGAGCAAGACCCTGTGTCTACAAAAATATTAAAAAATAAGGCGTTCAAAAAAACAAATAAGGCATTCATGGTGGCACACGCTTATAACCCAAGCACTTTGGGAAGCCAAGGCGGGAGGATTGCTTAAGCTCAGGAGTTAAAGACTAGCCTGGGCAATAGAGGGAGACCTTGTCTCTACCCAAAATGGAAAAGTTACCCATGTATGGCAATGCATGCCTATGGTGCCAGCTACTTGGAAGGCTGAGGTGGGAGGATCTCTTGAGCCTGGGCAGTTGAGGCTGCAGTGAGCTGTGAATACACCACTGCACTCCAGCCTGGGCAACAAAACAAGAGCGAGACCGTGCCTCAAAAAAAAAGCCAAGTGCAGTGGCTCACGCCTGTAATCCCAGCACTTTGGGAGGCCAAGGTGGGTGGATCACCTGAGGTCGGGAGTTTCAGACCAGCCTGGCCAATGTGGTGAAACCCTGTCTCTACTAAAGATACAAAAATTCAGCTGGGCGTGGTGGCAGGCGCCTATAATCCCAGCTACTTGGGAGGCTGAGGCAGGAGAATCGCTTGAACCTGGGAGGCGGAGGTTGCAGTGAGCCAAGATCACGCCAGTGTACTCCAGCCTAGGCAACAGGGCCGAGACTCCGTCTCAAAAAAAAATCCTCTTGACCTTGCCTTCAAAATAACACGTATTCCCACAGCTGCCTCCCTGGGCCGGGCCCCAGCACCGTGCCGTGGACAGCGTTCTGTTGCATCTTCTGTTCCTCCAAAGTCCATTCTCCACACTGAATCTAGTCTTTTTTAAAATATCTTTTTCGCCGGGCGCGGTGGCTCAAGCCTGTAATCCCAGCACTTTGGGAGGCCGAGGCGGGTGGATCACGAGGTCAAGAGATCGAGACCATCCTGGTCAACACGGTGAAACCCCGTCTCTACTAAAAATACAAAAAATTAGCTGGGCATGGTGGCGCGTGCCTGTAATCCCAGCTACTCAGGAGGCTGAGGCAGGAGAATTGCCTGAACCCAGGAGGCGGAGGTTGCGGTGAGCCGAGATCGCGCCATTGCACTCCAGCCTGGGCAACAAGAGCGAAACTCTGAAACTCCGTCTCAAAAAAAAACAAAAAAAAAAATATATTTATTTATATATATATATATATATATAATCTTTTTCATTTTTGATGTTGGAAATTTTTAAGCCTATACAAAAATAGAGAAGATAGTATAATGAACTTCCATTTACCCGTCGCTCAGCTTCAACAGTTATTAACTCACCGCTAGTCCTATTTCAGCCATGCCCTGATCCACACCTCCTCCCACATCCCAGACGTCATATGGTCCAATCTTTTGAAAATGTAAGTGAGGCCAGGTGCGGTGGCCCATGCCTGCAATCCCAGCACTTGGGAGGTAGAGGTAGGAGGGTCACTCGAGGCCAGGAATTAGAGACCAGACTGGGCAGCAAAGTGAGACCCCATCTCTACAAAAATTAAAGTATTCTGGCTGGACACAGTGGCTCACACCTGTAATCCCAGCATTTTGGGTGGCCAAGGCGGGTGGATCACTTGAGGTCAGGAGAAGCAGACCAGCCTGGCCAACATGGTCAAACCCGGTCTCTACTAAAAATACAAAAAATTAGCCAGGAGTGGTGGCAGGCACCAGTAATCCCAGCTACTCAGGAAGCTGAGGCAGGAGAATCGCTTGAACCTGGAAGGTGGAGGTTGCAGTGAACCAAGATTGCACCACTGCACTCCAGCCTGGGCAACAGAGTGAGATTCTGTCTCAAAAAAAAAAAAAAAAGAAGAAACAAAGAAACAAAATAAATAAAATAAAAAATTCACGAGGCACGGTAGCACATGCTTGTAGTTGTAGCTACTTGGGAGGCCGAGGCAGGAGGATCCTTTGAGCCCAGGAGGTTGAGGCGACAGTGAGCTATGATGGCACCACTGCACTCCAGCCTGGGTGACAGAGCAAGACCCCATCTCTAAAAATAAATAAATATCTTTTTTTTGAGATGGAGTTTTGCTCTTATTGCCCAGGCTGGAGCGCAGTGGTGCGATCTCAACTCACCGCAACCTCTACCTCCCGGGTTCAAGTGATTCTCCTGCCTCAGCCTCCCGAGTAGCTGGGATTACAGACATGCTCCACCACGCCTGTCTAATTTGGTATTTTTAGTAGAGATGGGGTTTCTCCATGTTGGTCAGGGTGGTTTCAAACTCCTTACCTCAGGTGATCTGCCCATCTTGGCTTCCCAAAGTGCTGGGATTATAGATGTGAGCCACTGCGCCTGGTTATAAATAAAATTTTTAAAAATATGGCTAGGCACAGCGGCTCACACCTGTAGTCCCAGCACGTTGGGAGGCCAAGGCAGGCGGATCATTTGAGGTCAGGAGTTCCAAATCAGTCTGGCCAACATGGCGAAACCCGATCTCTACTAAAAATACAAAAATTAGCCAGGCGTGGTGGCGCCTGCCTGTAATCCCAGCTACTTGGGAGGCTGAGGCAGGAGACTCTCTTGATCCCAGCAGGTGGAGGTTGCTGTGAGTCAGGCTTGCACCACTGCACTGCAGCCTGGGGCAACAGAGCAAGACTCTGTCTCAAAAAGAAAAAAAAAAAGGGAAATCAGATCCTGCCTGTTAACTGCTCACACACCTAGCACCACTACACTAGATATCATCTAAGCTCTGTAGAGTGAGCCAGAGAAGACCCCAAGGCCCAACCACCCTCCCTTCCCAGCCCTGTCTCACACCCCTGCCCCTACGTTACCGTTCTCCAGGCTTTTCTCTGTTTCTGGAACACCACAAGCTGTGTCCTGCCTCTGAGCTTTTGTACACGCTGGTTCCCCCAGCCTGAAACGCTTGTGCCTCTTCCTCCCACGCCTGCCTTGTGTGAGGAGTCCCTTATCCTTCTGGGCTTGTGTGAATTACATGTTTCCTCTATTTCACCTCCATTCCAGCTACTCTCTCCCCAGTGCTAATCTGTTCACAGTGCAGATCACAATCTGGAATGCTCTTCACTATTCTTTTATGGTTTCCATCGTCCCCTCCCCGCTCCAGAATAGAAACTCTTTGAGGGGCTGGGCGCAGTGGCTCGTGCCTATAATTCCAGCATTTTGGGAAGCCAAGGCAGGTGAATCACCTGAGGTCAGGGGTTCAAGACCAGCCTGGCCAATGTGGTGAAACCCGTCTCTACTAAAAATACAAAAATTAGCCCAGCATGGGGGTAGGCACCTATAATCCCAGCTACTTGGGAGGCTGAGGCTAGAGAATCTCTTGAACTCGGGAGGTGGAGGTTGCAGTGAGCCAAGATCGCGTCACGGCACTCCAGCCTGGGTGACAGAGGGAAACTATCTCAAAAAAAGAAAAAAGAAAGAAAGTGAGGGAAGGAGTCCTTTGGGGTGGGACCAAATGAAGTTGCCCTTGAAACTGGGAAGCTGGGGGCTTTTTCTTGCCTGTGGGGGCTGCCAGTTCCGCGTGTATCTATAGCCATCCATGAGGGTTCCAGGCAGAGCTGCTGTGCCCACTGGTGGGGAGGCGAGGCTGGGACTCTCTGCTAGGCTGGGACAGAGCTTGTGATTTTCGGGAAGAGACAGGCTGACTTTTTGTTGGCACTGGAGCACACTGCCAGGGAGGCAGGAGCATGGGGGAGGTAGGGGGAGGAGAGAAAGAGAGAGGGAGGAAGACAGAGGGGAGGAGGGAGGGAGAGAGAGAAAAAAGGAGGAGGAGAGAGGCAGGAGAGAGAGGGAGAGAGAGAGAGGGAAAAAGAGGGAAGGAGAGGGAGAAAGAGAAGAGTGTGGGAAGGGGAGGGGAGAGAGAGAGACCCTTTTTTGTTATTGTTCCTTAAGGAAAATTCAAGAAATAAAATAGGCCAAAGGACGTAATCATCTCAATGTCTCAATGAACCGCAGGAGTATTTCTCATCAGGTGGTGTCCATTCACACCTTCACCAATAGAAGAGTTTCCGGGTTTTCATTCCAGGTTTCACACCTAGATGCTGTTTTGCTAAGCCCCGCCCCTTCAGAACTGCCCTGCAGCTGATTAACCCCTTCTCTCCTGGAGAATAAAGAGCACCCTCTAGCGTCTCCCTAAGATGAACTTGGGTGTTCAACCGGCTCTGAAAATGCTCACCCTCCCCGGCTTCCCTTCCAAGATCTGTTATGGGAAATGCCAGCCTTGACACCCTGAGAATGCTGGCCTTTGTCAGCAGATGAAGCGGATATTGTCAGGCTGGGACAAAAGTGCCCTTGTGATTTCTGGAGACCAGGCGTCCTCTGTGGGGTCTGGGGGGTGGGCACCGATGGGGCCCGGCGGTGGGAGGCACAGCCCAGCCTCCCTCGAGGAGGCTGGGGCCTAGAGAATCCGGAGGGGGCGGGTACATTTTGGAAACATCTTTTGTGTTATGGGTTCTTGCACCTTTAGCATGGGCCTGGGGGGTGTGGATCGGGAATCCTGGGGTCCTTTATTTATTCCTCATCCTGGGGGGGATCTCCTATGTGCAGAATGCTTTGCCTACAACCAGCGACAGCCTGCAGGGGAACGGGAACAGGGTGGTCCCCTCCCCAGGAGCAGGTCATGGGCTGCTGGTTGGGGGTGGAGGGGGCAACAGATAAGAAGTGAGGTGGCCATTGCTACCCCAAGCAGGTGCCAGCGAGGGAGGACGGCTGCAGCCTCCCCCCTACACAGACCCAAGTGGGACACAGCGAGGGGTGGGGGTCAGGCCCCACCTCCCCAGACTTCCTCTCTTTCCCTGAGCAATTCTGGCTCATGAATCTGCTCTCCTCGCCTTGTTCACGGAAGATGACGCCTCCTCTCTTTCTCTCTCTCTCCTTCTCTCTTTCTCCGGCTTCTTCTTCCCTGTGCCCCCTTCCCTGTGTCCCCGCCCCCACCCCACCGTGTCCACCCTGTGTGGACCAGACCCAGACGCAGCTGGAGCACGCGCGCATTGGGGAGCTGGAACAGAGCCTGCTACTGGAGAAGGCGCAGGCCGAGCGGCTGCTCCGAGAATTAGCGGACAACAGGGTAACCGCGCCACCACGCCCGCCTGGCCTGCCAGCCACCTTGCCCTCTGGTGCCCCCTCCGGCTTCTCTGTTTCATTATTGACTTTCTTTAGCTGCTATCATCTATTTTTTTTTCTTTTGTACCCCCTTGGAGGAGGGAAGTCAAGATTTAGAAATGTATTTATGCAGCCGGGCGTTCATGCCTGTAATCCCAGCACTTTGGGAGGCCCAGGTGGGTGGTGGATCGCCTGAGGTCAGGAGTTTGAGACCAGCCTGGCCAATATGGTGAAACCCTGTCTCAGCCGGGCATGGTGGCTCATGCCTGTGATTCCAGCTACTTGGGAGGCTGAGGCAGGAGAACTGCTTGAACCCAGGGGTGGAGGTTGCAGTGAGCTGAGATCCTGCCTCGGCACGGTCTGCCTCGGTGACAGAGCAAGACTCCGCCTCAAAAACAAACCAAGAAAAAGAAATGTGCTTATGTTCCCTGGCTAAGGGTTGCTCACTGGGGTGGAGTTGGGGGCAGGGGTGGTCTGTTTTTTTGGGATCTGGCTCCCCAGCTCATGGTCCCAGTAGCTGAGAATGTCCTGTGAGACCGCCCCCTATGCATTGCCACAACAAAGTTTTGGGGCCCTTGGGAATGTCCTGCCCCTAATGCCTGTCCTGTAGGCAGACCCAGAAACTACGGATCCATGCTTCCTGTCTCCCCAGCTGAGGAGGCTGGAGAGAGGAAGGAGGTCGGGAACTGCAGATCCCTTCCCGGGTTCTCTGGCCCAGGGAGCCTGAAACATGGGGCAGGAGGGCCCGGCCTGAAGGCCCTGGGGCTGAGGACGTGGTGGGGCTTTTTCGGGAGTGGAGGTGTCCCCAGGAAATGGGACTGTGATGGGTCCTGGAGCCATGGAACAGCTGTGCTTGTGGGTGAGGCTTCCAGAGTACAGGACATGGTTCCGAGTCCCTGTTCTGGGCCCAGCAGTCTCCTCCAGGCTTACCATGCATGCTGGGTCCAGCACTCTGTGCAGGTGCTCACATCCAAACAGCAGCTGGCCCCCCAGCAGCTCCCCTGGGAGGAAGCTTACACAGGCAGCAAGCGATCACGGGAAAAGCACCCGTTAAACAGCGTGTAGGTGTGGAAGGAGCAGTGGTCAGTTTCTGCACGGTGGCCTCAGTGCACAAGTGGCTGTGTGCATGTGTCGAGACACACAGGGTCCATTTGCACACACGGGCCATTGCCCAGTGACCACGTGCTTGTACAGTACACACTCACATGCATCAAGACTGAATGCACAAACTGACCCAGTCACTGTGGACGGTCTAGAGCCCTCCAAATGCATCCTGGTCTAGGGTTCAACCTGATGAAGACACAAAAACAGGCCTGGGTGTGGTGGCTCACGCCTGTAATCCCAGCACTTTGGGAGGCCAAGGCGGGTGGATCACCTGGGGTTATCTGAGGTCAGTAGTTCGAGACCAGCCTGGCCAACGTGGTAAAACTCCATCTCTACTAAAGATATAAAAATTAGCCAGGCGAGGTGGAAGGAGCCTGTAGTCCCAGCTACTTGGGAGGCTGAGACAGGAGAATCATTTGAACCAGGGAGGCGGAGGTTGCAGTGAGCCAAGATCACGCCACTGCACCCCAGCCTGGGCAAAAGAGCAAGACTCCATCTCGAAAAAAACAAAAAACAAAAATAGGTTTATCAAACTAAAGGATACCTTCAGAAAGAAAATGTTTAAAGCTTGTAATAGATTTAAACCTTGAAAATATATTGTTTCCAAATCTATGACCATCAGCGTGATCAAGGCGGTTTTCTGGAGAATGAAGCCTCTGACAGTTTGTTGAAAGATGAATCTGAGAGCACTCACTCTCTTCTGCTTTGAGCATTAAACTGGACCTTTCATGGCCACTGCCTGCAGCCAGCCCCTTGGTTGGAGACCTTCCTGGGGCAGGGTAATGCAAAATTCACTGTGGCTTCTGCTCTTTACAAAGAATGTTAACGGCCGGGCTCGGTGGCTCAAGCCTGTAATCCCAGCACTTTGGGAGGCCGAGGCGGGTGGATCACGAGGTCAAGAGATCGAGACCATCCTGGTCAAC